AGGAGAGCAAATGTTTTGCGATTGATGAGGGCAATGGGTGTACATAGGTGCTTGACTCAGTGTATGTATGTATGGACTGTGATAAGAAATGTACAAGCCCTCAATAAAATAATTTAAAAACAAAAAAAACACATGCACAAAAAGGATCTAAACTATGTAGAGAAATCTCATCTTATATTGGTTCAGAGTCCAGGCCTAACGCAATTAGCTCACAGCATTCTCCTGGCCATTGGTGTAGGCTAATAAGAAAGGAGCCCCAGGCTTGTGCTCAGCGGTTCTAAGGAAGAAGCCTCTCTGTCTCCTATTGAGCATGAAGGTAAAAGCACTGAGCCCCAGTTAGTACTGGAAGCTCAGGATCATGAAAGAAGCCAACCTTGGGATAAAATGGTAGAGGGGACAGCAGAAAGGAAAGGCAAAATGAAAGCAAGTCCCTGAAGACATCATGGAACTATGTGATCAATGATCCTAATGCCTGTTCTTTCTCTAGATCTGAGAAAGAACAGTCCCTATAAATTTCTGTATTGTTAAAGACACTTAAAGTTGTACTTTGTATCATTTGTAATTTGAAAACATCCTCCATGATGACAGATAACACTGAAATAAATAGAAGTCAAAGAGTAGGGTTTGGAGAAGAGATGGTGATTGCATGTCATACAACCAGCTTGAGCAAAGGCATTTAGAGTAAGAAAAGAAAATGTGTTTTAGAAGAAAGAAAGAAAATATATTTTTGGAAAATATGGTGTGTCTATAGGCTCATGGTAGTGGAAAACAGCCTACTTTTATAGCTGTTTCTACTGGATGAACAAGAGTAGTGAAAGAAAAAAGTTGGGAAGAGAAGGCAGAAGTTCTTTTTAATTGGACTAACCAGTTGCTGTTGCTATACACAAAGAGAAAACTGCCCATGAGTTTTCACAATATTCAAGCATTTGTCATGGACAACACGAGAAAAGTTTGAAACTAAATGACAAATTCACCTATTTCATGAAACACTCATTAGTACATGAAGGTGAGTCAAAACTTATTGCTACAAAAATCATAGAGCTCTCTAGTAAACAAAGCATGAAAGTGTGAAACTCTTGCTATTCCTTTCATCCAGGTCTGTATACTTCTGAAGGCAGTGTTACCGTCTCTCAATCCCTTCCCTGAAGAAGTCTGTACTCTTCGATTCACAGTCCATCGAGTCGTGTAAATCTTGAGGGATTCAAACTGTGTTTCTGGGGCGTACTCGAGGGATTTGCACTGTTTCTTCACCATGTCCTTTTGAGTATTGAGAGCAAAATTAAGTCTGAAGGGACACTATCAGATTGTTGGGTGGCTTGGGTAAGATTTTTCAATGCAATTCCCATGGGACAGCCCTGGATATCTTTGAAAAATGAGCAAGCACCCTGTGGTGATGGAAAAAAATTCTTTTTCACCAATGCTGTGCTTTATTTTCTGAAAAGTTTTTAATGATAAATCCCCGTGATCATTCTGCATCTTTCTAGAAAATCTATCAAGATTACTTTTTTGGAATCCCCCCCCCCCC